CCCCAAAACCCCAAAACCCCAAAACCCCAGCATATTCAAAGATATTGGATTATAGTTATGTCTAAATGGTTATCTTCACAGAGCCGAACCCATTTCCTTCAAGTAGGCTTGTAGCCATGGCTATATCCACTCCGCATCTTCTTAAGTCTACTTCTTGAAGGCTGAGCTTCAAGTCTGGTGAAGTTGCTAGTCCTTTGATTAGATTGGTCAACTCTTCGGGATTTTCTTCCCAATTATTAGCATTGGGGAGGCCAGACCAGCATAATTTGAACTTTTGGATGTTTGTGTAGCTCAATGCCTTTGTGAAATCAGGGATTTCAGGAATAGAAAGTTTACACAAAAATATTCATAGTGTCTCAACATGTCTAAATGATGTAATGAACTTCTTTAGATTTCAAAAGTTTATTCAAAATCATTCGAGACGCATTTTATTTAATACCCTGAAATTTAGTCTGATAATGGAATCTAAATACAAGGTGGGGAGGTTGATTGGATCTCTCAAAGAGTTATTAAAATTAAATGAAATGACTCTTTCTGGAAATGATAACAATAGTTTTAAGGCCTCATTCTTTCTAGCTGTTTTGAAATAATCCCAACGAAATTCATCAATAATAACGCAAGAGAGCAAAGGTCTCTTTTTAATAAATTTGATACATTTTTGGTCTTCTAAGTAAAGGTCCATATAAGTTATATCTCAAGGTGTGACTGAAGCAATACAAGAATCTGAATCTACCCCCGAAATGTCAGGATATCAAGAGTATATGTTTTGATAGACAATTGGCAATACTTCTCTGCCAAGAGCTTTCTCCTCTGTCTGTACAGATTCTTCATAGCTATATTATTATATCAGTGAATTTTTATCGAAAAATAAATTTTAGTTTACAATAACTTCCATTATGCTAAGTGTAAGCCTGATGAGTTTTTCCAATTTCGATATAGTAAAAGTAAGACATTAACTATAATATAATTCTAAAGAGGCAGAGAGAGAACTACTTAAGTTTCTCAATGAAAAGACAAGATGGTATAGCTCCAAGTGAGCTTCTTGTTTATTCAACCACTCTAAGAAGACTTACCTTTCTCTTTGTTCGTGTACATCTTCTATTTTCTGGATGGTGGATTCCATTATGATACAATTATTATATTCCTACCATATGTTTTAATTTAGGGGTTTTGGGGTTTTGGGGTTTTGGGGTTTTGGGG